AAAGGAGGGGTGTCTTTCTGCTGCTGCTGTGGGAGGAGGGGGAGAGAAAGAGAAGCCAATGGCCCGTAGAGGGGGAGCTAAAAATCCACATCTTGAAAATGTGTGTGTGGGCCGGGGTCTGGGCTGGGGTGCAGGTAGGGATTAATGGAAGTGGAGAATGGAGAATAGTAGCTACCTACATGAGAACACTCTAGAAGGTTAGCTATCATTTATTTGTAAGCATTATTCTGCATTGACCACTGCTCTCAGTTATAAATGTATAAATTCATTTACTCCTAACAGCCACTCTCTGAGGCAGGTGAGCTACACACGGCCCCGAGGTGATGTAGCCAGTAGTGGGGAAGCCAGGATTTGAACCCAGGACTTGGAGCTGATGTAGAGTCTGTGATGTTTCCCACTGGGCTGCACACTTCCCTACCCAATGTTAGTTTATATGCCTTATTTTATCGTTTTTATTTTTTATTTTTAGAGACAGGGTCTTGTTCTGTCACCCAGGCTGTAGTGCAGTGGCGCAATCATAGCTCATTGTAACTGTGAACTCCTGGGCTCAAGTGATCCTCCTGCCTCAACCTCCCAAGTAGCTGGAACTACAGGCACGTGCCACCATGCCTGGATAATTTTTAAATTTTTTTTGTAGAGACTGAGTCTTACTGTGTTGCCCAGGCTGGTCTGGAACTCCTAGCCTCAAGCGATCCTCCCTCCCTGGCCTCTCGCAGTGCTGGGATTACAGGCGTGAGCCACCGGGCCTGGCCCTTTATATAGTGCATTCCTCTCTTATATAGAGCTTCTGGGGCTGGAGGGACTCATTATTCCCACATTTCACATAAAGAAACAGAGACATGTAATCACTTTCCTAGGGTCACACAGCTACTAAGTGGCTGAGCAAGAACTTGAGCTTGTATCTCTCTAACTGCAAGCCTGGTGCTTTCCCTTTCCCAGAGGGAAGAAATGCAGGAATTCAGTGGGGAGCCAGGTGCCAAAAATAAGGTACCACCTGGACTTGGGGAGGCAACATTCTTTAGCCTCTCCAGAGAGGGGTTTCCACAGACTCCCGAGTCATCCCAGCTTGGGAGCAGGGCAGAAGAAGCTGGGGCTTGGCAGGCTGGAAACAGCAGGAAGCAGACGGGGGGCAAAGCTTCAAGTCCGAGAGGGGGGCAGTCTGGCTCCCGCGGCTGTCCCGGGTCTAGGTTGAGCGAGACGAGACGGAATGAAATACGAGCAGGAGCCGGGCACTGGGAGAACTGCTCAGGGCCAAGGGCGGGAGTGTGGTGGGCAGGAGGGGGGCTGGGCCGGGAGGGGGATGCCAGAGCTCCTCCTGTCCCTGGTGGGGAAGAGCCTGGCCCATGAGTGGCCAAGCCAGACCCTCCTCAATGTCTCTCCTGAAGCCACCCTGGCGCTGTGACCTGTTTCAGAAAATAGCTGCTTCTGAACGAGGAGAGGAAAAAATCCCCAGGGGTCTTGTGGGGGCGTGTAGGGGGGAAGTAGGGCTTCCTATACGAGTTACCAGGAATCTTGGAGCGGGGCCAGGCAGGAGGGCAGGAGTGTGGGAGGCGGCAGAGAGGCCCTTAAAGCCAGGCGGACACAGCCCCTGCTTCTACCGAGGACCTTGGGACGGAGGAAAGGTCTCACTGGTGAGGAATTTTGTGCTTGGGGCTGCCTTGCTTGGGGGGGTGGGGGTTGGGAGAGCAGGGTGCAGAGAGGGGCTATGAGAGGAGACACCTGGTCCCCTTGGGGCGGGGCAGTGCCCAGAGTGAGGCGGCCCCCCATCCATCGCCTGCCCACAGACTGTGGGTGTCTCAGTGGTGCCTTCTGTGCAGAGGGGCTTGGTGCTGTTGGTCCTTTCCAGCCAGGCGACATGATCTGGGGTGTCCTGGGAGCACGGAAGCTGCTGCTCGTGGGCTTGGAGGGCCCATCACGTGGGTGACCCAGCCACTTCCCAGTCTCCACATCTTCCCGTGTCCGTTGGTGGATCTGTCTCCGCTTTCCCACCTCTCATTGCTGTAGCCGCTGCTCCTCTCTGAACTTCTCTGCGGCTGCTTGATAAAAATAGCCGAGCCCACATCCTTCTCTGGGGACCTGGTTGGGCTCGCCTGCTGGCCACCTCTGCAGTGAAACTGCTTTTTCACTCTTTCAGACCCATTTTCTTTCTTTCTTTCTGTTTTTTTTAGAGACAGGGTCTCGCTTTATTGCCCAGGCTGAAGTGCATTGGTGCCATCACAGCTCACTATAGCCTCAAACTCCTGGGCTCAAGTGATCCTCCTGCCTCAGCCTCCCGAGGAGCTGGGACTACAGGCGCACGTCACCACGCCGGCTATTTTTTTGTTTGTTTTTTGTAGAGACAGGGTCTTTCCGAGTTGCCCAGGCTGGTCTTGAACTCCTGGCCTCAAGTGATCCTCCTGCCTGGCCTCCCAAAGAGCTGGGATGACCGGTGTGGGCCTTCGCGCCCGGCCTCAGCCCCATGTTCACGGGCCCCCCTGCTGCTCACTCACACCGGCAGCCTGAGTGCAGGGTGTTCTCAGACGCACCTGGGAGGTTGGCTTTCCTCAGGTGTGGTGGGGCCAACAGGTCAGGAAGTGATTGCCACTTAACAGATAGCTTTTTATTCACAGTCCCCAAGAGAGGAGGTCACACCACCCCATGCAGGGCCACACGGGAGGTACCAGGTCGGTCGGGAGGCAGGAGAGGCCAGTGGGAAGCATGGCCCAGGGCCTTTGTTGTGATTGCCAAGGGAGAGGCCGGGCAGGGCGGGGTGAACAGTGTAGACCTGGCTGGTTTGAACCATCTCCGCGGGCTCCAGCTTCCCTAATTGTCTGGTGTCTGGCCTGGGGTGATTTAGAGCAGGAGAAATGTCGGCTTGGAGTGCGAGAGAGAGATGAAGGAGGTGGCCTGGGTGTGATGAGGGATCGGTTGGTTTATGCGGCACCTTTGCAGAGGAGCCATTGCCTTCTCTAGGAATTAGCTGGCCCTGGGAGGGACAAGCTCTCCCTGGCCAGCAAAGCCCCCAACATGTCGAAACATTATAAAATAAAGAAAATAAAAAGTGCGTTTAGTGCCCAGGGTGCTCAGAGGCAGTGGAGTCGGGTCAGTCAAGGGTGCAGGTTCACGGTCCTGGGCTAAGCCCTCGGGCAACTACCTCACCTGCCTGAGCCTCGACCTCCTCAGCTGTAAGGTCCCAAACTGCCATGCATCCAGCAAGTAACTGTCTAAGGGGACAGACACCAGGCCAGCAGGTTTAACAATAGCCACCTGCCAAGGTCACTGGGGAGACCACTGACCACTGCTTAGAGAGACAGTGATGGTGCCTGGCACGTCGGAAGTGCCCAGTGCATGAGTGGCAGCTGGCATCTTCCTGCCGCAGCTCAGGAAGCAGCAGGGAAAGATTGGTGCGGAAGGGTGGGATCTAGGGCCACTTGTTTTGGCTGTTCAGAGCCCTCAGAGCGGAGGCTGTGGATGGACAGAACCCTCAGGAATGTTCTTGGAACTCAGGGCTGCTGCTGAACAGAGCGGGCATGGAGGCCAGCCCAGTAGCCAGGAGCCCCAGGGAGTCTGAGGTGTGTTTGAAGGCTTGGGAGGTGCCAGCGGCACGGGCAGAGCCCTGGCACAGGAGACTGCTCAACTCAGGGACTCGGAGACAGCGGGGTACCAAAGGGGAAATCCTGGCAGACCACAGGCCAGCTGGGCAGCTGTGGGTAAACAAGGACTTTGGCGTCCTGGGAGGAAGGGGAGCAGCCAGCCGCCGGCGAGGAGCCTCTGAGAGGCCAAGCTAGACTCGGGCGCTGGCCCCAGACACGTGGCATTTCCTCCGCCTTCTGGCTGGGGTTGTTTTGAACCCTGGGCTAGTGATGGCTGTGTTTGCCAAGGACACAGCCTCAGGAAGGAAGCCACAGCCCCTCGGTTCAGAGGATTCACGCCTCTGGGAAGGGAGCCGTGTGGTGCAGTGAGGGGCGCACGAGGACGGGCCCGAATCCTGCCTCCACTTCTCACTGGCTGTGTGGCCTCTGGCAAGTTCCTCGAGTTCTCTGAGCCTCAATTTTCCCACTGGCAAAATGGAAAAAAATGATACCCACCCTGCAGAACTGTCACAAGCATCGAAGGCTGACTTATTCTTTAGGTAGGCCCAGGAAAATGTTTTCATTTCAAATTCTTGTAAAATAAGGAGGAAAAAATGAGTATAATAATCATAATGAATATATAATAATGAATCCAGCTGGGGTTATATTTTCTTTATATCAATGTAATTGTCAAATATAATTGTTTATACACATATTCACAGTGTGTGTATATTTATATATTTTGGAGAGAGAAGGCCACAAAGGCACAAGTGCTTGGGACCCACAAAAACCCTGAGAAGGCCCTGAAGGCTCTTCCGTCTTCCATCAGGGGCCATGTCTAGGTTATGTCAATTCCTGCCTCTCAGCGTACGCCGCCAAATCTCCATTTAAGAATCCTGCCTATGCTATGTTCCTTTTAGCCATTTTCTGCCGGGAGGGACGTGTGTCCGGGCTGCTGCGGCTCGGTGCACTGGAGGTGGGAGAGTCCCCTCCCGCCTCTGTGGGGGCTGCATTCCCGCAAACGCTTCCATGAATGCCCCTCTGCCTCCAGCGACCCCAGTGGACCTATGAATTTTTGCCTCGTCCTTTCTGGCTGGGGTCACCTGTTTATTGGCCAACATGAGGGGCCGTGGTGGAACAGGAGGGGCCTGGCAGGGACCCAGGGTGGGGTCTGAATGGGCCGTGGGCGCATTGCCTGATACATGCATCGTGGGATGTGTTTTCTTTTCCAGAAACCCAGAGATGAAGGGCCTGCTCCCACTGGCTTGGTTCCTGGCTTATAGTAAGTGCTGGCCCATGACCTCTGAATGACCTTTGACCCCATGGGAGTCGTAGCGTAGTGGAAAGGGGACCAGTCTTTGAGGTTGTGGAGCCCTGTGTTTGAATCTTGGCTCTGTGTCGACTGCGTAGGTGTCAGCAAGAGCCTCTGTCCCTTTGAGCCTCTGCTCCCTCGGCTGACACAGGCTAAGGCAGCCCACGGTAGGGCCAGGGCAGTGTTGCAGGAGACGCCGTACGTGAAGCGTGGAAAGGCTGTGGACGTGGAGGATGTGTGGCTGGCAAAGGCAGGAGGCAGATTTTTATCCTTGGATGCAAAGCAAAGTAAAATAAGGCCAAAGCAAGACAAAGAAATCCAGATTAGACACCAGGCCCTTAGCTAAATGCCCCAGCCTATGATTCATGGTCATTTTCTGGTCCAGGGCCATCCAGGGCTTCTACGCGCCCCTCCCCTAGCCTCTCCCAGCTGGGAGGTGACAGTTCAGCTGGCTTTAGTTCCACCCTGCAGCCCCATAACTGTGTACACAACCCCGTGGCAGGCTGTCCTGCTCTTTGATGTCTTGCCGGATCCCCGGAGACGCCAGGAGGAACCGGAGGCCTGGTGCGGGGACAGAGCCTTGGGCTCTCTGTGAAACCCTGGACAGGGCACTTTTCCGCTCCAAGCCTCAGTTCCCAATGTGTAGGATGAGAGAGTAACTTCGGTGATTTCTAAGGGTCCCCTCCTGCTTTAAGACTCTCTGCCTTATGTTCTAAAAGGTGCCAGAGGGAGGGCAGGTGGGGCAGAGGGATGTATTGCCAGAAGAGACAGGAAACTCTGTCTGCCTGCTTCATACAGATACCATATGCGTTATACCTAATATTTCTTGGTCACTTACTATGCGTCTGCCACCGTGCTCAAAATTTACATACTTTATCTTATTTTAACCCTCATAACAACTGCATGAGGTAGCTGCTAATTTTAGGTTCGCATTTTCCAGACGAGGAAACTGAGGCTCTGAGAGATTAAGATTAAGCCTGTTCAACATCATACTTCGAATTAGTGGCAGAGCCAGGATTTGAACCCGGGTCTGCTCATTTTTTCAAGTCAAACTCTTAACCACCACAGGCACTGCCCCTCCCACTAATTGGAGAATGAAAAAGAGACAGCTAGGTCCCTCTGAGCCCCTGGGGGGTTGGGGGCAGGGGTAGGAAGGTCGGGAGATGCCAGGAAGCGGCTTGAGCAGAGCTGCCCAGGTGTCATCTGGGGACACGGGCTGTCTTTCAGGTGTGCCTGCTGTGCCAGGAGGCTTGCTGCAACTGAAGTCGATGATCGAGAAGGTGACAGGAAAGAACGCCCTGGTAAACTATGGCTTCTACGGCTGTTACTGCGGCTGGGGCGGCCGAGGGACCCCCAAGGATGAGACCGATTGGTGAGCTGATCCCCATATCTGCCCTGTGTGTTCCGGGCTCTGCATTCACATTAGCTCACTCAATTTTTCATGTCAATTCTGGAAAATGAGTATGAAAGCATCAATATGGGGATAAGGAAATGAAGTCTCAAAGAAGTTAACTGGAGATCCCAAGAGCTCAGTGGCCTAAGGTGTCAGTTGGTCTATCGCGGCACAACAAAGGGTCCTAAATGTAGTGGCTTAAAACAGCGGCAATCACTTTGCTTATGCCTCTGCCATGAGGGTGGGGCTCGGCAGGGTGGCTTGTCTCTGCTCTACGCAGCTTCAGCTCAGATCCTGTGGCTGGCACGTTGCTGCTGTCTCCCGGCCTGAGAGTGGGCCAGGGGCCTCAGGTCCTCTCACTCAGGCCCCTGCCAGGATGTTTGGACTTCCTCCCAGCATGGTGACTCCTGGGTTCCAAGAGTGAGTCCCCAAACTGCAAGACCAAAGGGCACTGTGTTTTTATGATCGGCCTCAGAAATTCCATAGTGTCACACCACTCTTGGTGGAGGCACTCACAAAGGCTTTAAGAGGGAGGGGACCTAGATTCCACTCTTGATTGGGAAGAAGTTCTAGATGAATATGTGAAATGGGAGACATTGTTCTTTGTAAAACACGCCCTGCTGGGCTAACCATTCTGATACCACTGGACATACAATGGAAGGGGCCAATTAAGCAAATGGGATGGCAGGTGGGTGGAGCCCGGGCTCTCCCTGCTGGGGTGGGATGAGCAGGAGCAGGAAGGTAGAATGATCCATTGGTAATGCATTGGAGCGGGATGTGAGCTCCCGTGCAGCTTACGATAGATGCGATGTTTACAAACAGACGCGTGTGTAGACAAGTGTATATACACAGATTAATGTCAACACATTTTTTTTTTTGCTGTTAGTGGAGAGGGGCTAAAAGAAATGACACCCAGTAGCAATAAGCACACCTACTGCCTATGTCTGGTTTCTAACACCATTCTTCGATAAAAGGAACCAAGGCTCCTTGAAGAAATGGCAGATTCTAGGACTCAGGCAGGAAATATAGGAGATGAGCCTGGAACTTCTTAGAGTTCCGAAACGTAAGAAAGAGCTCAAACAAAACAAAACCCCGCATGGATAGGGGTAGGTCAGGGACCTTGAGCCAACTGAAAGATGCCCAATGTCCAGAGCTGGAACCATGTGAGCAGCGAAGTAAATAGCCCAGAACCCCCATCTTATCATGAGAAAAAGAGAAAAATCAGACAAATCCCAATAGTGGAGCATCTTACAAAATTCCTGGCCGGTACTGCTCACAACCATCAAGGTCAGCGAACCAAGGAAAACCTGGGACGCTGCCACAGCCAACTGGAGCCTGAAGAGACACGACAACTACATGTAACACGGGAACTCGACAGGATCCCGGGACAGGCAGAGGACATTCGGTAAAAAGGAAAAAGATCCGAATAAACGGTGGACTTTTACAATTAGTGAAGCAATAACGCTGTTAACTACTTCATAATTATATATTTAATAATATGTCAATATTGGTTCATTAATTGTAACAAAGGTATCGTACTAATAGAAGATGTTCATAATAGGGGGAACTGGGTGTTTTTCCTGTACAATTTCAATTTTTCTGTAAATACTAAAAAAAAAATTTCAATACAATCTTCCATACCTAACATACGATCACCCCTCAGTATCTGTGGGAGACTGAATCCATGGCCCTCTACGGACACCAAAATCTGTAGCTGCCCTAGTGCCTGACATAAAAGGGCATAGTATTTACATATAACCTATGCACATCTTGTATGTTTTAAATTATTAATATCTCTAGATTACTTATAACACCCGATGCAATGCAAATGCTATGTAAATAGTTGTTATACTGTACTGTTTAGGGAATAATGACAAGAAAAAAATCTGTGCATGTTCAGTACAGACACAACCATTGTGGGCCTAGCTAGACTTTTGGTCTGGCTGGTTGAATCCATGGATGTGGGACCCATGATTCTAGAAGTTTAATTTTTGCTCACATAACAATTCAGTGGGAATCACATGTTGATTTAGGGACCCAGGCTCCTCCTGTCTTATAGCTCTGCCATCCCCCTCCCCGGCCTCAGAGCCCTCTCCTGGGCCATCCTCATCCAGCTGAAAGGTGGAAAAGAGAAAAAGTGGAGGAGAGTGTGGCGGTTTTTTGGGGAGGCCTGGCAGTGGATGGAGTACGTACATCACTGCCGCCCACGGCCCACGTCCTGGCCAGAACCTAGTCATGTGTACACACCTATGTGCAAGGGAGCTGGGAAGTGTCATCTCATCGTGATCCCAGGAGGGAAAAGTGGGTCAGTGACCTGCTGGCCACTGGTGGCCCTTGTGGAAGGCAGGGAAGTGCTCAGCCACGCCCACCAGGGTGGCTGCAGCTAAAGTGCCATGGTTGAAGTTTAGCTCCTCTTAGGGACAAGGGGGGTCAAGAGGGCACCCCTTCCACTCAAATCTAAGTCTCCTGCATGGACAGGTGCTGTTGGGTGCACGACCGCTGTTACGGGCCGCTGGAGGAGAAAGGCTGCAACATCAGGACACAGCCCTACAGATACAGATTCGCTTGGGGCCTGGTCACCTGCGGTAAGTCTGGGGCTTCCCGTTCAGGCCATTGGAAGAGCCTGGATCTCTCCCGGCTCTGAGTTCAGCTGCCCCTGAGGTCATCCAGCCTATTTCTTGGGGGTGCAGATGTGGGACAAAAGGGGCGGGGTTACTGCAGCTGTATCCGACCTCCAGGGAAGGGTTGAAACATCTGAGACCGAGCATGTGCTGGGTGCCAAGTGCTTTGCATACTTCCCTTGACTTGCTCCCCCAAATTCCCTATGGAGTAGGCTTAGTCTCCCCAACTTAGCACAAGAGGAAATTGAAGCTCAAAGGCCTGTCAATGCACAGAGATGGGTTCCAGCTCGGATCCTCCGAGTTCAAACCTAAGTCTGGGGATGGAATCTGCTCCGTGAGAACTAGCATTCGTTCCTCCAGAGCAGAGCTGTCTCCGTCCTCACCCGGGACTTCCCAAGAGGAGGGACCGTGCTTCCTCCCAGACGGGGAGCTCCCTGAGGGCAGGAGCTTTGTCTCCGGGACTGAAACCTCCCCCTGGGCAGCAGCTGTGCCCCTCCCATCAGACTATCCGCCCCCCAAGTTAAGAGTTGCACCCCCTTCATCAGGCTGAGAGCTTCTCAGAGCAGGAAGCAGAGCGGGGATCTGCTCAGGCTGAACCAAGTCCAAGTTCATGAAGCACGTCCTTTCCGGCCTCATTCCGTGCGTGGTGTCCTGTTTGCAGAGCACGGGTCCTCATGTGGCGTGCAGCTGTGCACCTGTGACCGGCAGTTCGCCTATTGCCTGCAGAGGAACCTGTGGAGCTACAACCCTCGTTATCGCTACTTCCCCAACGTCTTCTGCTCCTAGTCACCCCGTGGGGGCTCCGCCCGGACCGAGACTTTTGTTCTCTGCTACAACGCAGAGTTCTGACTCCGAGGGATGCCCGAGAGAGGCTCCCGGGTCTCAGACCTCATCCTTTCTCGGAGGAGCCCCACGGCCACACGTCACCCTTGGGAAAGTCCCAAGAAAGTGACTAATAAACACCACACAGGCATTTTCCTCTGCTGTGAGGGTTGTTGGTGCCTCTTTCTGTGCCGTTGGGGAACTAAACCCAAAGTCATCTGCGTTGTCAGGGCAGGTTTTCCGGGGTGAGCTTCAGGACTTCTCCTGGACTCACTTCCTTAAATCTTGGGGTCCTCTTGCGCCCAGCACTGGGTCTCATTCTTCCTCAAGGGGTTGGGGGAAGGATAACTGGGAATCGTGCAGTTCCAGGCCAGAGAGGACAACATTGCGGTCCCAGCCTTGGCTTCTCCAGATGTATGGTCTTGGGCCATCACTGAACCTCTCTGACTTTCAGTCTCTTTCAAAAAGAAACTGTCACTCTCCTTGTGATGTAAAGCAAGGCTTCTACAGCTCACTGTGATGCTGATTTGGGAGATGCTGAGGTTCCAGATTTCATTGAGGGGATGTTTTCAAAATAGAGTTCGGCTATGGGGTTTACTTTTACCAAGTAAGGACGTTTAAAGACCCAACTCATCTACCAATTCATAAAAGAAAGGGTGTTCTAACGCCAGGGCTGCGGGAAGAAAGGGTGTATGCCAAAACAAGGGAGAGTCCTTTCCAAGAAGGGAACTTTGGCTTTTTTACTCTGACACACACAAAATAACCACATGATAAATGGGATCTATATTTAAAACCTCTAGTGTTGTACACTTTCAAATTAAAGTTTAATTTTATGAGATTACCCTGAAGGTACTAGTGTTTTAAAAAAGTTTGATACATACTCAGTGTCTGTTTGACAATGCAAATACAGTGGGGCTAAAACACACAATTTGCTCATGAATTTTTTGGTTTTTTTTTTTTTTTTTTTGAGACAGTGTCTCACTCCGTCGTGCCGGCTGGAGTGCCATGGCATCATCACAGCTCACTGAAACCTCAAAGTCCTGGGCTCACATGATTCTCCTGCCTCAGCCTCCCGAGTAGCTGAGACTATAGGTGTGCACCACCACGCCAGGCTAATTTTTCTATTTTTTTGTAGAGATGGGATCTCACACTTGCTCAGGCTGGTCTCGAACTCCTGAGCTCAAGTGATCCTCCTGCCTTGGCCTCCCAGAGTGCTAGGATTACAGGCATAAGCCACCACATCTGACCAATATATATTTGTTTTTAATAGAGATAGGGTCTCTCTCTCTGTTGCCCAGGCTGGGGTGCAGTGGGTGTGCTCACAGCTCACTGTAACCTCGAATTCCTGGGCTCAAGTGATCCTCCTGCCTCAGCCTCCTGAGTAGCTAGGGCTATAGGCATGTGCCACCATGCTCAGCTAATTTTTAAATTTTTTTTGTAGAGGTGGGATCTCACTATGTTGCCCAGGCTGGTTTCGAACTCCTGGGCTCAAGTGATCTTCCTACCTTGGGCTCCCAAAGTGCTGGGATTACAGGTGTGAGCCACCACGCCTGACTGAAATGTTTTAAATCAAAGCCATTTCCCAGATGTGATTTAAAATGAATATGTGGAGGAAGTTGAAAGCTTCACTCTGATGCCTTTTTTCTTCAATGGCAACATTCTGGATGACAGAGAAGAGAACCCAGCCCAGACTTCTCCCTTCTCCCATCAGGGTCAGATGGCAGGCAAGGCGGTGTTTGGCTTTTAAGTTCTATGGGCAGGCCCTTCTCTTCGGGGCATCCTGGCTCAGAGCCCTAGGGCACTGACAGACTCAGACAGGCCAGGGATTCTGCGAGGTCATGAAAGCAACACCTCAGGCTAACATAGGTTTGAGCTGGAAGGAACCATGGAGAGCCCTCATTTATGTACCAGGAAATTGAGGCCCAGAAAGGTTGGGAGGCTTTCGGAAAGTCACACAACACATCAACAGCAGAAGTAGGATTACAAATCGGGTCCTAGCTTTAAACCCTGGTCATTGGCCGCTGTCCCACGCTGTCTTCAACTCCAGCCCACAAAGGGAGAAACGGAAACTCAGGGCAGTTCAGGGACTCTCCCACGTTGGGGGTTCACAGGAGGACCCCCTGCATTCCAGCCGAGGGCCACCTCCATGTCTTCTCTGCTCTAACTGCCTCTTTGGATTCCAGAGGTTGTCCCTGGGCGGTCAGCCTTGTCTGAGGCTCTGGGCTTCATCATCCATGGAGGGGACCCCACTGCCGCCTTCCTCACCTGCTGCTGGACCCACTTCCGCTGCTGCAAACGGCTCTGGGGAAATGAAGAGAGCCGAGTCAACCCCAAAACTTGGAAAGAGGGGTGTGCTCCTCGTCTGTTTCCTTTGCCCACCCCTTGGCCAGCAGAAGAACCATCAGGGAGATAACCCCTCTCGAAAGTGCATGGCTCCCCTTTAAAGGGAGATATCGAAATGTACAGACCAGATGGCAACTGTCTCCCTTGCTAGATCTTCATATAAAAGTGAGCAGAGAACACAAATCCACACGTAAGGGACAGATTGTCTTATAAATACAGGTCCGCTCCTGGCTTCTGAAATTGGGCTTCAGATACGAATGCGACCCTAGAAACATATGTAAAATGATCTGTATGAACACGCACGTACATTTGGGGAGGTGGGTGGGGGAGTTGGCTCATGGCTGTTACCAAACTGAAAATGCATTGGAGGTGAAGCCCGCTGGTCGAGATGGAGCGGAGAGGACAGAGCGAAGGTGTGCCCATGGAGCAGTAGGTGCACCGAGCCCCTTCTCTGTGCTGGATGCTACGTAGACATCGCACACCGTCCTGTGAGGAAGGAGTTCTCATCCCCGTGTGAGGATGGGACCAGAAGCTCAGGGAAGTGAAGCATTTTGCCTGAGGCCGCACAGGTAACAAGGAAGATGGGCGGGAAGGAAGCAGCCTGTCTGATCTCAAAGCTGTGTTCTTAGGCTGTGGCCCAGGTGGCATGACATGGGGGAAGCTTGGAGCTGAGAGCAGATCTGAGACAGGCACTGGGGAAAACACATGCTGTTTTGTTCGGGGCAGGTGTGGTTAATTTGGATTGTGTAACTTTAGCCAAGCTGCATTTCCCAGAGTTGCCTGCAGAGTTCCGGGCTGGCAGGCCTTGAAGAGGTGTCTGTGTGGGATTCAGAAGGCAGAAGGGAAGCAGCAGCCATATTGTTTTCACGTTTGGGAGGTAGGAGCAGGGCACGAGATCTATGTGCGTCTCAGGCATGGTGTCACGGACCTGCCGGCCTGCCTCGCTGGTGCGAGCCGGCAGATCTCTACGTTTGACTTGGGCTCTTGGGCTGGTGTGTGTTAGGGAGCCCTGCAGGTGAGGGAGCCCGCTTCTCCCGCAGGCTGCACCAGCAGCGAAACTGGGGGCTGAAGGTGTTGAGACCCAGGTGGTTCGACTCCATCCTTGTGGCTGCCACTCACCCTCCCAGGTTCCAATTTGCCCTTTCTCCTCCCACTTTACACCCGTCTTCCCTTCCAGACTGTCTGCCCTGCCAACGTCAGGCCGCAGCAGCAGACACAGGAGAAACAGCCTCCCGTGAAGTGCTAAGCCAGCTCTCGCATCTGCACCAGGTCAAATCCTTACCAAAAAATTGTATTCTTATATAGAGAGCACTTCTGCCTCTCTGCCTGAACTCCCTGACTGATGCAGAAGTCGGTACTAGAAGTGATTTCAGAGGAATAGAGCCCAAAGGATGGGCTCTCTGAATTGTGGCTGGGTCTTCTGAAATGGGATTTTCTTACCTGATTCGATTTAAAGGCATTACGACTGGTATTGAATGGTAAAGGGGACACTGTCCATGGCCTGTAGGGATAAAACAGCTACTTAAATGGTCACCTCTACATACTCCTGTTCAAGGGTGACCACATGGTTGATGCCATAGAGCATTTTAGTTGCAATAAAAATATTATGGGTTGGAGAACTTGGAAAAGGAAAATGGAATCTGGGTACAGTGGGTACACCTGTCGTCTCAGCTACTTGGGAGGCTGAGGTGGGAGGATCACTTGAGCCCAGGAGTTTGAGACCAGCCTGGGTAACATAGCAAGACTCCCCATTCTACCCCTCAAAAATGGAAAAAGAAAAATGGTGAGCTCAAGGCTTTAAATTCTCACTCAAGATCCACGTACGCGACATGAATTCTTCACCTGCCTGCACACAAGTCAGATACCTGTTAGAGAAGGACAGTGGAGTTGCTGGGCTCGTGGCTCGTGCCTGCGATCCCAGCTACTCAGGAGGTCGAGGTGGGAGAATCACTTGAGGCCTGGAGTTCAAGACCAGCCTGGACAGTATAGTGAGACTCTGTCTCAAACTAAAACTAGCTGGGAATGGTGGTGCCCTCCTGTTGTAATCCCAGCTACTCAGGAGGCTGAGGCAGGAGGATCGCTTGAGCCCAGGAGTTTGATGCCTCAGTGAGCTACGATTGATGGTGCCACTGCACTCCAGTCTGGATGACAGAGCAAGACCTCATCTCTTTAAAAAAAAAAAAAAGAGAGAGAGAGAGAAACAGTGGAGTAATGCAAACTGAGTCAAGCAGTGCCTCCAGTTGCACCTGCTGTGGTTTTGTTGCTGGAGCAAATTACACATCCCCTGGCACCTGTTTTATAACTATTCTGCTGTAGAAAGACTTTTTCTCTATACCTATTAGTGAGACCCCAGGAAGCATTTGCTTTCAGCGTTTAGGGGCAGGAATACACTTTAACATCCCTACCGCAGGGCTACGTCAGCCCTCCGGCGCTCTACCGTGATCTAGCCCAGAGAGACCGTGATGATATTCCACAGGACGTCGTGCTTGGCCACTCTACTGGTGATGTTGTGCTGGTTGGACCCAGTTGTCATGGCGAGGCAACTACTTTAGCCTCAATGATAAGACATGCATGTGCCTTAGGTGAGCAAGTAAATCCCACAAGAATTTAGGGGCCTGATG